AAGTAAACTATAGTTGTTGCAGGAGCAGTGACGACTTCACACTGCTCAATCTAAAGGGAAACATAAAGGTACAATTTTTCACACTGAAATGTTAATTTGTCTCATTTTGCCTAATGAATGCAAATGTCGTCTTTGAGGAAAATAACCCTGAAAATATTAATTAGAAACCTCACATTCATTGTACGCTACAAGCTCTTTAATTAGGGAGCTTTTATCGTTTGATCGCAATGATAATTAGATTTCTTCAATTTCAAGGTTTGTTTACTTGTAAGATAACAGAATATAGAATCAAGGGATTCAAAGTTTCATTGATATCTTTCTCTTTAGCAACCCTGCATTGTAAAAAAAAAAGAAAAACTTTTCCCAGTTCTGAAAAAATCTGCACACACAAAAAGTATATTCATCTGAAAATGTTCTCTTTAAAAACCTACATCTGATTTATTTAGTCTAATTTGTTTGCTAAGAGAAACAGAAAGAACCAGTGCTCATATTAAAGTTATCAGAAGGAGAAAGAAGTGTATCAGTATGCGGATTGCATGTAATAGCATATCATATAGAGTGAAAATTACATGCATATTATGGTTGCAAAAAAAAAAAAAAAAAATTGTGTGTTAATTAAACTATCCATTTGTGCAGTGATTTGTGGAGGATCTTGTCTAGGTTAACCAGCCTGTTAACACTGAGCGCTGTAGCATGGCCGAGTAACCCGGTGTAATCCGGGCCTCCATTGCGTCACCTATTGTCTGAGAGCATCGGGCCCTTCAGGGGCTGGACGTCCCTCACTCAACCGTGCCGTTCGGTCAGCGGGACAACTGAGCCATTAATACGGCCGGCTTCTGGGATACTTCTCATTAACCTGATGAATAAACTTAACATGACTGCACGCTGATTTTGGGGAGAAATATTGTGCATTTAAATGTATGTGGACACTGCTATAGTGGAACATAATGTGATTCTCTGCACCTTTGGTTCCTCTGATAGGACACTTGTTTTAGGGGAACTGTCTTCAAAACGTCCCATACGGCCCTGATGGTGTCTGATACGTGTCTGATGAAGCGGATACTCTAGCATCAGGTGTTTGCAGATGCCAGGTTTTATTAACTAACATTAAGAAAGATTAATAAATACTGTAACAAATGTATTGCTCATTTGTAGTTCATGTTAGTAAATACATTAACTAATGTTACCTAATGAACCTTATTGTAAAGTATTACTGATATTTCTAATGCAATGGAATTCAGATGCAAATGTTTGAAATGCTTTTGTACGCTTATTACCGTCGCTGTAGTTACTGTTTTTGCAACCCTGGCCACTCAAACTTTTAAAAATCACCCCTGGTTTCACAGACAAGGCTTAAGTTAGTCTCAGACTTGCCCTGATACCTTAGAATATATCAGTGTCATTGTTTTGTCTCAAGATTCCCACCATGTTTTTTTTTTCTAATGCACGTTTATAAAAGCTACTTAAATGTCCTAAATTTAACTAACCCTGGCTTAATCTAAACCCTATCTGTAAAACCAGACCTAGGTGTAGAAAGCATTTCCACTCAGAAATCGCTAGTAAATTTCACAATTAATTTCAAAGACTTATGGCGCATTAAATTTTCTTGTGAAATACATTCTTAAAAATAAAGTTTTCAAGATGAGGGGTTTCGCAGCGATGCCATAGAAGAACTATGTGTGGTCCCACAAAGAACTGAAAAGTTATTAAAAGAAACACTTTTTCTTACATTTTAAAAACCTAAAGAACCATTTTTCACTATAAAGAAACTTTTATGGATGTTAAAGCTGCTTCATGAACCATCAATGACAAAAAATAACCCTTTTTTTAAGAGTATACTCCAATAATCTTTATTTACAATTTTACTTTTTGGTTAAGTATTATTTCAATGGTCCACTTTAGACATAACTGTACGTCGACTAACTCTCATTAGTGTATTTATATTGTTAGGGTTATTCGAATAATAGTTGTAAAGTTACAGTATATCTGTTGAGGATCATCACAATAAAGAGTTATCAGATATTAAACACAGTCTAATAATACTCTATAATACTCTAATGAGAGTTAGTTGACATCAGTCAAGCGTCGGATCATCAGAATAAAGAGTTATCAGATATTAAACACAGTCTAATAATACTCTATAATACTCTAATGAGAGTTAGTTGACATCAGTCAAGCGTCAAATCATCAGAATAAAGAGTTATCAGATATTAAACACAGTCTAATAATACTCTATAATACTCTAATGAGAGTTAGTTGACATCAGTCAAGCGTCAAATCATCAGAATAAAGAGTTATTAGATATTAAACACAGTCTAATAATACTCTGTAATACTCTAATGAGAGTTAGTTGACATCAGTCAAGCGTCGGATCATCAGAATAAAGAGTTATCAGATATTAAACACAGTCTAATAATTCTCTATAATACTCTAATGAGAGTTAGTTGACATCAGTCAAGCGTCGGATCATCACAATAAAGAGTTATCAGATATTAAACACAGTCTAATAATACTCTATAATACTCTAATGAGAGTTAGTTGACATCAGTCAAGCGTCGGATCATCAGAATAAAGAGTTATCAGATATTAAACACAGTCTAATAATACTCTATAATACTCTAATGAGAGTTAGTTGACATCAGTCAAGCGTCTGATCATCACAATAAAGAGTTATCAGATATTAAACACAGTCTAATAATTCTCTATAATACTCTAATGAGAGTTAGTTGACATCAGTCAAGCGTCGGATCATCACAATAAAGAGTTATCAGATATTAAACACAGTCTAATAATTCTCTATAATACTCTAATGAGAGTTAGTTGACATCAGTCAAGCGTCGGATCATCAGAATAAAGAGTTATCAGATATTAAACACAGTCTAATAATACTCTATAATACTCTAATGAGAGTTAGTTGACATCAGTCAAGCGTCAGACCTCGTGTTTTACAGTGTATTTTTCCTATAGGAACAGGAATAAGGCGAGTGTGTTTGCTGTAAAGCCTGAGTGCTTCTGTATGGTCCAGGTTCTGGGATGGTGTCCTGCTGTTTGGGTTTCCTTCTCGGGACAGCAGTGAGTAAATGAGACCCCCGGCCTCTCTACATCCCTCTCTCTCTCTCTCTCTCTCCCCCCCTCCGTCTCTTCCCTCTCTCCGCCGCTCACACACTGAGACATTTTTCCACATTGGCCGGATTAGGAACACTTTCACTTAGATCTATGTGGTCGCCCCCACAGACAAAGAAACACTTGGAGACAGGATTAGTAGGATTAAAAAGGATTCACATATGTCCAGTTCAAGCAATTGGTATTCAAAGCTTTACACTTTCAAATGCCACCAAGAGAGAGTAAAGCAGTCCCGAGCTTTTCTTTGCATTGCAGCACCTTTATGAGAAACGATTCCCTTTCAACTTCCTCTATGGCGCCGTGAATTCATGTTTTCACTCTTTTTATGCGGGGATTTTATTGCTGTGGAAAACCAGCGAGACGACGAGAGGAAACACTGTTTTTATCCTGCAAACACTGAACTGGGACCTTCTGTTTCACAAATACTGGGAGAGTTTTCATCTCTCATCTTTCTGTGATGTTCTGATGATTACCCTGCAATTTAGACTTGTGTTTTACTTTGTACACAGAAATGTTGATTGTTTTCATAATTATGAGACCACATACAAAGCTTGATCGTATTATGCAAGAAAATGTACAATCTCTTTGTTTGTTTCATATAAACCAGATGATAATGAAGAGACACTGTAACAGTATAGCATAATGTCTGTATATCATCTGCCAATGAAAAATTATTTAATAATCTAAACATATTTAATATTTATCTTACCAATATATAAATTAAATTGTATTTTCTCTGCTTGTAATGCATAACCAGATTAAATCAAAAGATTTTGTAATTACGCATATAAGCAGTAAAAGCATTTTTTCATATAATAATTAAATATGTCAGACAGCATTTACAACTCATCCATGATCAAATGCTCAGTGCTAAATGTTCATAGTAATCATAATCGTAATCATAATCAGATATTTATATAAACTTAAGGACAATATTAGTTGCTTTCTGAACACATTTTCTGCTTTTTAGATTCATAATAAAGTTACAGAATTTTGTTGATAATTGGCTAAAGTAAGTGTTAAACTGACTAAATACTGAATTTTGTTTTCATTCAGTTCAGGTGATTATAATTAACATTGTAATGTTTTTATTATTATTATTATTATTATTATTATTTTAGAATAGGAACTAATTTGTTTAACTTTACCTTGTTTTTTTTATATACAGAAATTTAATTGCACAGACACACCAAAGCAATGCAAATGTAGCTTTTTTTTACACCATGAAACAGGTTCAGAAATTATGAACTAATTATGAAATTAACAAAATACATACTGCATTTAAAAAAAATGACAATATCCATTCAGGATTAATGTTTGTAACACACACACACACACAGAGAGAGAGAGAGAGAGAGAGAGAGAGAGAGAGAGAGAGAGAGAGAGAGAGAGAGAGAGAGAGAGAGAGAGAGAGAGAGAGAGAGAGAGAGAGAGAGAGAGAGAGAGAGAGAGAGAGAGAGAGAGAGAGAGAGAGAGAGAGAGAGAGAGAGAGAGAGAGAGAGAGAGAGACACACACACACACACACACACATCTAATCCGTAGGATCATTACTTAATCTAATCATGCTTGTTAATATTATTTTAGATGCACGAAAATATAATGACAAAATATTACTATCCAATATCACGCATACCAATAAACACAGTATACAGTATGCATATTTTGTGATTGCATACATAATCAGTGAGACGAAATGAATGGTGCAAGGTGTGTTGTGACTGACCCGGCATCGGTTCTTAAGTGTGGAGAAGTATTTGCAAAGTTTCGGAGGCTCCTGGGTTGAAGTGTCCCCCCATGGCGTCCTTACAATGAATATGAATAGATGCTCCTCTGGTCAATGGGACAGTCAAAGCACACCGCTCCAGATAATGGGGACGTCATCCTAACAAGACCGTTATGAATAGAGGGGCTCCTTTTGTTTGGCCCCTGTCGAGCAGCGCTATAAATACTGAGTCCTGTGATGCGACTCCACAGATCGAGAGAGTTCATCAGCGAGAGAGATCAAAACCAGGCGACACGGCCTCGGTCGACAGAGAGGGAGAGAGAGAGACACAGACACATACAGAGAGAGAGAGAGAAGAGCAAACCAGGCGACACGGCCTCGGTCGACAGAGAGAGAGACACAGACACACACACAGAGAGAGAGAGAGAGGCTCCGGTGGGATAAATCAGGTGATCAAGCAGGAGTGACTTGAAATAAAAACAAGACAAGAGAAAGACAACCTCCTACACAAGCTCAGACATAAAATGAATTCGGACTCGAGCTCCAGCAGAGCCTCCTCTCCAGACATGGATGAGATGTTCCTCCGCGAACACCACCTCCTCCACCCGCAGGACGCGCGCCTGAACTCCGTGTCCTCCACGCAGAACGAGCTGCTCCAGAAGATGACCAGCGAACACCTGTCCAAATCTCCCTCCGGCAGCAAGTACAAGCTGAAGAAGCAAGTGACCGAGCAGGAGGTCCAGCAACTGCGCCTGAAGATCAACGGGCGCGAGCGCAAGCGCATGCACGACCTGAACCTGGCGATGGACGGGCTCCGGGAGGTCATGCCGTACGCGCACGGGCCGTCCGTGAGGAAGCTCTCCAAGATCGCCACTCTCCTGCTGGCCAGAAACTACATCTTAATGCTGACCAGCTCCCTGGACGAGATGAAGCGGCTGGTGGGCGAGATTTACGGAGGACATCACTCGGCGTTTCACTGCGGGACGGTGAGCCACGGCGGCGCGCATTCCGCGAGCACGGCACACCAGGTGCATCACCCGCTCCTCGGGAGCGCGCTGTCCTCTTCCACCTCCTCGACGCTTTCGACCAGTTTACCGGGACTTACATCCATTAGGGCCCCGCACTCTCTGATGAAGAGCACCCCTGCACCCCCTCTGCACCTCGGGGGCAGTTTCCAGCACTGGTCGGGCCTGCCGTGCCCCTGCACTATCTGCCAGGTGCCTCCACCCCCTCACCTGCCCATCACCTCCACGGGACTCACGAGGCTTTCCACGGAAAACAAGGACGTGATGAAGTGAAGTGTGCATTGTGGACTGGACTTTGCATGATCTGTCTGTCTGTCTGTTTGTTTGTTTGATTGTTTTAGCCCTTACAAATACACTACTTCGTCCTTGTAACAAGGATCTCATTGATTGCTTTGTAAGGTAGCTCACAGTTATGGAGTATGTGCTGCATAACGCACTGTAAATAATGTCAGGGGCCGCGCGAGGCTCCGTGTACATTCACTGTAAATGAGAGTAAATTGTTCTATTCGAAACGGAATCGTATGTGTTTGAAGTTGCCCTGGAAACGCGAGCACTCCCCTTGCGCGAGCTTACTTTGGTAACCATATTGTGCGCCAAAAATTAATAATAATAACAACCTAGGCTACATTAATGTGGGATCTCCTTTCTGACATTGTATGTGCTTCAGCGTTACACATCTCGGTAACACTTTATTTTAAGGTGTCTTTGTAACAGTGATACATTTAAGTATTGAGTAATATTAATTAACTATGGGATTACGGTCTGGTTTGGTTTAGAGTTAGTTGCATGCATGTATGCATACTTTATAGTTATTATAGTAACTACATGTAACATATGTCAAGGACACTATAAAATAAAGTGTTACCCATTTCTAGGCGTTTTGGCGCAGAATGTGTCTATCATGCTAAAGTTGCGTAAGGCTACCTGTTGATCATGTGATGTGATGATGATGATGATGATGAGTCGCGTGCACGTGTCTTTCTGCAAAGGGCGTGAAAAGACGAAACCCACATGTTCCTTGTAACAAGGATTGTGTAATGGCATTTCAGATGGAAACTGTACGACTGTGGATTTAGTTCGCATTAGAGTGTTGTTATGATGATATCTCTCTTTCGATTATTTGATTCATCCATTGTCTGCCTGAGTAATAGCTGAACCTTCAGTGTGTCGTATCTTTATTTGAAATTCTTCAGCATGAGCATGATCCTTTTTCCTGGGGAAATTTTGTTATTCCAGAGAGATTGCCGTGGTCTTTATTTTTGTACATTCTTGTTGACAAATGAGATATTTATTATTGCCCAGTGTTCCTGGATGAAATTTCAATAAAACGTTGCTGTAAAAAAAAGAAAGAAAAGATTATTTTTTGTTTGGTATATTTTTTGTAACATGTTGTGCATATTACATGTATTGTGCCTTTAGTTATTAACACTGCATTTGAAAATAATGATCAGTCCGCTCCTATAAAAAAATATTACTGAATGTAGAGATAATTATCTGTTTGCAATATAAAAAGCAATTTAAATATGCAATCAAATATTTTACACAAAAAATGTTTCAAAACATAATTCGTCACAGAGAGAAATCATTGCTTTGGCGCTCAACATAAAGATAAATGAATTCGGTAACACTTTATTTTACAGTGTCATTGTTACGTTACATATAGTAATAACTATAAATAATGCACAATTACACAACTAACCTAAACCAACCCTAATATTAATCCTAACCCCATAGTACATGTAGTTAATTAATATTACTCAAATGTATATTTACTATGAGACACAGTGTAAGCATTAATTCCTATTTTAAAACAAAAGAAATAAAGAAACAAAGAAAGAAAGAAAATAAAAAAATCGGAATATGCTGAAACATTTAATTTGTGGAAGCTATAAAACATGCCGTCTGAATGTAAATTAAAATGAAAAAATACGGTTTCAATGATAGCAACAAAATAAAAATCACACGGTACTTTTACTCATATTTCTTTCTGAGAGTTGTGACAGCAAAATTAATTTTATGAGAAAATCTTATTCACTTGTATGATGATTAAAAAACGAGCAGCCTATACAAAAAAAATAGTCTATAATGTTACATCAATGTATATTAGCCTATAATAAGAAGAAGAACAGTTTTAAATAAAACATAATAATAATAATAATAATAATCATAAACCGTTATGTTTTATATTTTTATTGTGAGGGACACGATGCTTTATTTGGTAAATCTATTCTGTTAATTTTTTTTAATGAAAATTGCTGAAGGAAATATTGGTATCCATAAAATAAAAAAAGAGAATATTTCCTATACATCAGCGGCAGAAGTAAATCATAAAGTTGCACTGGACACATTTGAAACACAAAGGCAGTCCCTCGGGTGCTTTCACAGACAGCAGCTGAATGTATGTTTGTAGAGATTACAAGTTAATTGTTCATGTGGGAATGGGAGAAGAAAACATCAGAGAGCGCGTGCGGATTACAGGAGCCTAAATGCAGAAGATTAGATATTCAGGACTCTATTCTTGAGGGATGTAAATGAGGCGAGGGATTAAAAAGCTCTTTGTAACTAACTCGTTGAGGGGCTCAAGCCCCTTTTTTTAGACAAGTAACAAGAAGAGCCTGGGCGAGCTAGTTTTACACTTTGTTTTTAGGGACTACAAACGGTGTGTGAACACTGGCCAGGGCTCGAGGCAGATGGAGGGAACGCAGCGCGCGCCTGAGAAACGCCGCGTTGGCAATGGGCATTTGCGTAATTGGATTCGTTCTACGGTGCAAAGCATTCATTTATCCACTGATTTTCAGAATCAGCGAATTATAATTCGTCGTTAAAGTTTAGGGACTGGGTTCTGTAGCCTAGATCGCTTGATGATTAGAGTTCGTGTTACAATAAGTTTGCAATTCCTGAAGGAAATAGCAGTGCTTGAAATAATGCAGAAGTTCAAAAGAGTTTTTTTTTTTTTTTAGGATAGATTTGGTTTTGTGTAAATTGTAGGCCTATCTATTTTTTTCTGCACCCTAATCACTTAATAAGGGTGAATAAAAATAGAGAAAGAAGGCCAGTGGCGATTCATCAAGCGCTTCCATTTTGAACTCCAGGTGAAGTGTCTGTCAAGTCAAGGAGAATAATGTAAGATTAAATGTAAAAAACATTTCGATGTTGACCATCTTGTATTCTGGAGTTGCCCAAACTTTGACCCTTCTGGAATATGGTTTTGATGGAGATCCAAAAGATTTTATGATATGAAATACCAAGAGATTTCACAACATTGTATCTTGGAAACATTACGCACACTGTGTTAAGACATGTATTGTTAATATATTAAGTGTAGTAGAGTATTACAAGGCAGGACATCCCCTAACTTGGTGAATAGATAGAAATTGTTAAAGAAATATACAGTATGGAAGATTTGACTTTTATTTTTAGACTTTTAGATTTTTAGACTGTTTCTAAAATACTGAAAGAAATGGATTGAGTATTGTAATGTAAACAATCAATGACTGTACAGTACGTGAAATAATTACGTATTTCTATTGCTTTCCCCCCTCTTTTTTCCCCAATTTTCCCCTAATGTTGTAGGCATGTGTCATTTTCTTAAAAAAATCATCAATAAAAATAGCATAAAAAAAAAAATTTAAAAAAAAAAAAAGTATATATGACACCTTTAAAACAGACAAGGGCGGGCCCAGAGTGCAATTTTTTCACGACACGAGTGGAGCTTAACCACGATCATTTTTGTGTAGAATTCGTATTAGCGTAGTTACACCATTTGGTGATTCACCGACGTTGACCAATCAATGTTTGTTTCAGACAATGTTCAAACAATCTTTAAATGAGGCGGTTCGAAAAGCATTTTACATTTTCTAAAAATGTTAGTGATACCATGTTTTTGGTGGTGAAAATAGCCATCCTAATAAATGTCTCTTTTATAGTCATATCTTAGATATAATTCCTGGTCATTTTATCATCCACCACATGACTTGAGGCATCAACAAAGTCGGCATGAAATGGAAGAGTTTCTTCTTTCGTAGGTTATAACGTAGACTTGGGGGATTTGGTTGGATGGTTGTTGTTTGCTATTGGTCGATCTCATTTGATTGACAGGTTGTCCCGCCCACGCACCATTGCACGCGTCATCAGATAAGGGAGGGGACGTTATTTTGATTCAAGATTATGAGGGCACAGAAAAAAACAAAAAAAACAATGTGCACAGATAAATTATTTAAATACTGTGATATTAATAATCTGGTGACTTTACAAACAGTTATGTGGCAAAGGTTAATACTTAGATAGCGTTACAGTATATTAAGTCTGTCAAATTTTTGCTTCTAGATTGTTTTGTGTTCCAAAAAGTGCCTAAGCTGCAGGCTAGCGATGGAAAGCAGCATGCGGTAACTATCGTGCGCTTCTGGAGTCAGAATCTGTCATTTGTCAAAGTCTGTGTTTATGTGTTATGTCTTCCAAAAAAGCATCTGTGAGACCGCTGATGTAGCCAATGAGAGCTCTGCGCAAAGCAATTCTCACACACTCGCTCGAAAGGAAATTAAACGCCTCATGGTATTTTTCGCTCCATGCCTCTCCCTTTGTTTCCTTTAATTACAGTTTGGTGGTTAATAAACTCCTTTCCTGCTGGTGCTTCATTAACCATTCTGATTGTTATGATAACATGTTTGTTTGCAGCTCCTTTTTACAAAGTTGAAATAGTTTTCTATGCCGCACGTTTCCAGGTTAGCAATGTTCGGGTTAACGAAACTCAGCTCAGCTGCTCATTTTGAAATTTTAAAATCTCTCAAAATCAGAGGTTTGTAAGTAACTACTATGTAGCCTACTATACTTATTATGTACATACTTGCTGGTGCATTTAAACTATGTGCATTAATTAACATTTCTAGTTACACTGTTGACTCTTCCCCTTAACCCTAACCCAAGCCTTACCCCCCAAAAAACTATAATCCTATAACCCTAACCATAACCCTTTCTCCTAAACCTAAGCATACCTCAAACTCATTAGCATTAAATGTGTGGATTTTCCAGAACAGAGTTACACAGTCACAGCTTTAACTCAGACTTTACCTGTTGAAAAATCCATGCACCCATTTACTCAACTTGCAGTTTATGTAGCACAAACGCTTCAGTCCACTAAGGCAGCAGATTGCCAGCCGTAAACTCGGAGGGGTCAAGCGGGGTTGGAAGAGACTCCCAAGCTCCCGGGTAATTTCCCTGCGGCCGCTGTCCAAAAGACAGCTACGCTAAGTGGAGGCCTTTCTTTCCACACATGACAAATGGGTAGTCCTCGTCAGTGGACACACCTGTTACTGGAAACACTTGAGATTTTACACTTTCGAGAGTGGCCTTATTACCATCCGACCGCTCAAAGGTCTCGAACAATAGACGCGGACGCTAACAATGCTCCAGGCCCAGGGCTAAAGAGAGTCCCGTCAAAGCCAGGCTTGTGCCGGGCAACACCGGGGGCTGCAATTGAAAATAAATTTCAGTTGAATAAGGGCATGGGGCACATCGGAGGAACCCGCAAGCTTCGGCTAGAACAAAAGCAGTTGAGGGGATAAGTTATTGACTCTGCTGACAGGATGAATGCAGTTCATT